AGTGGTCATCTCTTCAAATAGCTAGTGTTGGGGAGAAAGAACAACTTTTGTCAACAAAATTTTCAAGTCATCAGGTTGAGGCATTCACGATCCATAAAATGGTCGTCCCCTGGCGTTCAAAAGGTAGTACGATCAAAGAAGTAATCGTCCCTTCATCGTCCAGCTGGCATTCACGATCCAAGAAATGGTCGTCCCCTCTTCCGGTTCATTATTGAGCACATATCAACCATTCATCGCTTTTCAAGCCGGGCATTCACGATGTTCATGCTCCAGCTTGAGGGGGAGAATAGGAGGTCAACATATGTCGGTCGACTAGCTCAGTCATCAAGTCGACCGCGATGCACCAAGTGTGTTCAAGTTCAAGAGATGCAGTCAATCGTCTCTATCATCAGGTTGTTCAGAGAGAATTAGTCGTCTCCAATCAACCTCGTCTGAGATGTTATTCATCTCGAGTTTTGTGGTTCAAGCCATCATGCTTGTTCTTCACATTTACTTCTTCAAGCTCGACATTCTTGTCATTCATGTCTTCGCTTGAGGGGGAGTGTTGCGGTTACTTAAACCGTGTTAGTATTGGGCCTTGTTGGGCCTCGTCTGATTCGTTGGATTAGGGTTTTAACCCTAAGTTTATCTATATAAGCTTAGCTACGAGATTGTCGTAAGCAAGCCGTCAAAATGTAATCCATAAAAGATCAGCTGTGAGCTCTTATGAGCTCACCGTGGATTAGTCTCGATCAATCAATCGATCGAGGATACCACGTAAAATCGTTTGTCTCGTGTTCTTGTTATTCCGCATCATCAAATTCTTCATGGTGGGGATGGTTGCTATATCATAACGGGTGGTTGGTTGGTGATGGGTGCCGCATCATTTCCTGCTCTATTGATTAGTTCTTTGATCACTAGTATGTCTAAGTGATCATAAATTTTTGTTGTTGTGCTTCCCGAGAGATGGATTTCACCTGTTAACATTTGTGGGGTTAGTTGATGCATTTTTTGCAATATAATGTTTTAGGTTAGCTTATTGTACCGTTGTGGCTGTTCACATAGATGCTGGTGATCACCAACAGAACTGGTTCTTGGCGGTTCTTGTCAATCACCCTGTTGAATTCTTCTATTGTCTTTTGCCAAATTGTGGCTCTGATTGTTCTTCCCTTGTTTGAATCAAAAAGTGTAGAATTCTGGGGTGTTAGTGTTTAGTATGTTGAACCATTGTCATTACCTTCCTTGTCAGGTTGTGGTTTTGAAAAGTAATGTGGTAGTTGTATCGTCAAGTCCTGGCGCACTCTTTTATTTACTCCATTGTGTGTCTCAATGTTGTTGAGTACACCCGCAGCTGACATATTGTATATGTGGGTTTGTGTTGCAGCAAAATGAAAAATTATATTAAATAAAAAGTCATTTGTAGCATGTTTTTAATGTGTTTAATATGTTACCTAATAGGATTTCTTTTTTCCCCTTCAGCTTGTCGATTTGTTCTTCTAGGATGAAATCAAATTTGAATTTCTGGATGTTCACCCCCGTGTTGGTTGGTTGAATTTTTGTTGTCCTTTTGAAAACTATGACCAATGGTTCCTTGATTGGTCTGAATTCTCCCGTTGCTTCCTTAACTCTGAAATTTCTGAAAGTGTATGTCTTGTTCTTTAATCTGCCTTTCAAAGTCGTTCATCAAGGATCTTGGAATTTGTACATGGATGTCACGTCCCTGTTTGACGATATTAGGGTGCTGTGTCAGCAGATGATGAATACAATTGAATGTGATCTTGAGGAAGTGTTTCCGTTACCTTTGTGTCAACGAAGATTAAATCTAAATGCATTACAACATTGGATTTTATGTTGATGGCCTGCCACTTTCTTGACACTCTAGCAAGGACAGTCCCATTCTCGTTCTCGTTCTCTGTGCTTAGCCTGTCAATTGTGTGGTCTTCCATGGCCTGCAATTTGTGGAAATTTTGTGGTTAGTATGCATTTTAATTTTGTGTGCTTTTTTGGATTTGTTGGGAAAGGACACTAAGTAATGTATCTTGTTAGGTGAGATCGTACCTTTTGTTGCAGGGTGGTCGTGCTCTCTGGCATTTTTTGCTGGGCGAATGCTTTGAAGAGTTCCAAGGCAGGTGCTGTCAAATTTCTGGTGGGTGTATGATGGGTTGTGGGTTATGCTTTGTGTGGATTTTATATGTTAGTTTTTACAGGTTCTCTCTCTATTTCATGGTTGTTTTAATGACCATGCAATCATTGCTCCTTGTAGTCATTGCTTAGGTTCTGTCCATTGGTATTTTGCAATTTGGTTATGTCTATTGGTCTTTTGCATTTAGGACTCTTTCTATTGGGATGTTATTATGAGTTTAATGCCATATGATTCCATCAAATTACTTAAAATCATATTTTTGTTTTTGTTTAATTTAGTGGTTACTAACAGGATGATTGGCTTGGGGCTGCCGTTGCATATTCAATGCTCAATCTCTATTGTGGATACTCTTTTTTATTTTATATTAGAGTCCTTACCTTGTAACTTGTAAGTGGCGGAGAGTGGCATTTATATTTTAGGTTCTGTTGAACTTCCTAACAATAATGATCATGTCTTTGTTTAAGTTACTAATTATCTTTTGGTTCTATGGGAAGTCATTATATGTTAGTTTTTACAGGTTCTCTCTCTATTTCATGGTTGTTTTAATGATCATGCAATCATTGCTCCTTGTAGCCGTTGCTTAGCTGTCCATTGGTATTTTGCAATTAGGTTATGTCGGTTGGTCTTTTACATTTAAGACTCTTTCAATTGGGCTGTTATTATGAGTTTAACGCCCAAGGATTCCATTATCTTTATTCCTCTGTTTTTATGTGTTCATCAAATTACTTAAAATCATTTATTTGTTTTTGTTTAATTTGGTGGTTACTAACAGGATGATTGGCTTCCCCGCGTAGTCTCTGTCCTGTGGCGCGTCTGGCGGTCGCGAAATTGGGTAGTGTTTGAGGGTAAGCAGTTTGGGTTCCCCGCGTTAATGAGGCAGTTCTCCCAGCAGTATGAGGAATGGGTGGGGTTGCCGGTGGATGTGCCTTGCGTGCCTTCTACCCCGGCGGTTCCACGGTCAGGTGGGCCGGATCAGGCTGTAGGGTTTATTTGCCAGTGGGATGGGGCTACTAGGAAGGGGTCGCATTCAGCAGGTGGCATGGTTCTTTTGGCTCCCTCGGGGGATGTTCTTATGGCTCACGGGATTCAGTTTCGGGGGGTTGATGACCCGATGGTCGTGGAGTTGCTTGTGCTCCGGGAGGCCATTACTTGGTGTGTGGGTCAGGGTTTCACGGGGGTGCGATTCGAAGGGGATGCGAAGGTCATCATTGATAAAATCAACTGCAAGGATGCTAGGGATAACCGGATGGGGGCTGTGCTGGATGAAGTCTTACACTATTTTGTTAGTTGCCCTGGGTTTAGTGTGCGATTTATAGGTCGGAGTAGTAATAGGGTAGCCCATTTGGTGGCTAGGAAAGCCCTCTCTTTGTACCCGACTATGAGTCGTTCTTTTGATTTTCGGACCTGGCTTCGATCCAGGGTGTAACTATCTATATTTTGGTATCAATATATGATTATCTTTTGTAAAAAAAAAAAAAACAGGATGATTGGCTTGGGGCTGCCATTGCATATTCAATGCTCAATCTCTATTATGGAGACTCTCTTTTTATTTTATATTAGAGTCCTCGCTTGTAAGTGGCGGAGAGTGACATTCATATTTTAGGTTCTGTTGAATCTCCTAACCATAATGATCATGTCTTTGTTTGAGTTACTAAGTATCTTTTGGTTCTATGGAAAGTCTGTGGTGGTGTTACCATTTTTTTATTCTAAGATCTATATTATATTGTCCAAATATGATATAATGATGATTCATATTTCATATAAATGGCCATGTATTTGTGTTGGTTTTGGGTAGGGGTGGGCATTGGGCGGGTCGGGTGGATTTTGACCATAAAATGCACCCACCCGCGCTTAAACGGATTGATAATTTTTAACCCACCACCCACCCACATTTAGTCTCGGGTTGGGTCGGGCGGATGGTGGATGATGCGGGTGGGTTTGTGGGTTCACCCACATCACAATGTATATAATATAAAGGAGTCAACTTGACATGATAATAGGTGAAGAGAATCATCGAGGGAAACAAGAAGTTGAAATAGGGCAAAAAATGCCGAATTAGTTCTTAAATTGGATAGAAATTCTATTATGAAAGAGTTTTCTAGAGATTGAGACGATTATTAGGTGCAAGGAACTAAGGAAAATAATTACTCAAAGGAAAGAGCAGTGATCTAGGCACAAGAATTAGAGGAAAAAGTAAAGGGAAGAAGAGGGGATCTCTATTTGGAAGGTTGGCTTTGAGGTTCAAACTCCAGGAGCAGTCCGAGTTTATATCTAACGTCTCCACTCTCCTCTCTCTAGCGCCAACGACTTTGATCTTTTTGCTGTTGGGTTGAGCGGGTCACCCTCACACTCACCCACAACCCACCCACCACCCGGCGGATGACTCCCAGCGCAACCCGTCACCCACCCACAGACCCACCCACTTAACAAAATTCGGGTCAAATGCGGGTGGGTCGGCCCAATAAAGTGGTAATTAATGTGGTGTATTTAATGCTTACTTTGTATTTAATAACAGAACATTTATTATGTTTACTTTCATTAATACTTGTCAATAATTAATGAAAAATTGACCAATTAAAAGGGGGGTGTCAAAAAACCAACCCCTTAAAGGTTTGCATGCTAACCCGTCCCCCGGAAAGTAGATGGAAACAGTTAACCAAGAGAATTAATTAATGCAATGTTTTTTGTTGTAATTAGTGTTTGTTTTTTGGAACCACCAAACAAAATAATATGAGGTGACCTTCCAAATACTCATTTATGTAATTTTCGAAATATGAAAGCACATTTTGACCAAAAAAAGGAGAAGAAATATGGAAGCACTTAATAGAAATCTAAGCATCATTGTCGCCAATGTTCTACTACATTGATTGTGTCTTTTTCATGAACTGGCACTCCACATTATGCAAATTTCTTTGTATACTATATTTTGCATCCATGATTGAGGTTTCTCTTCTTGGTCACAACTAAGTATCTTCAACCCAGTTCTGGAAGTAACTCGTGATAGAGCAACATACAGTTGTCCATGACTGAAGACTTGCTGTTGTAAACACATTCCCATCTTTTGTAGTGATTGCCCTTGACTTTTGTTGATTGTCATTGCATAACACAATGCAATAGGGAATTGCCTTCTTGATAATGTAATATTAAGACTTGGGTACTCCGTGGCTAGAGTCATGCGAGGTAGAAAAACCACGTCGCCGACATGTGATCCAGTAATAACTTCTGCTTCAATGAACCATTGTCCCAGTCTTCTAATGATCATTCGTGTTCCATTGCATAACCCGGATGATTGATCTACATTTCTAAGCAGAATCACTGGGACACCAATCTTCAGTTTGATCTCATGATCGGGAAGCCTGGTATTTGCAAGGAATTTAGCACCTCTGCAGGGATTTCCAGGTCTTGGCTCTTTGGCTTTCCTTTTTCATTCTCGACAAAATCTTAGCTGAGATATGTAACTTGTTCGCCTGTAATTTGTGATAACATATACTCATTCAGATTATTGACCATTTCATGATGTGGCGCTAGAATAGCTCGACTCGCCAAATAATCTTTGTTGTCATGATTATCCCACAGGTTTGGGTATGTTGCCTTGACAATGTCAGAAATCGGATCCCCATGTCGCGACACCATTAAATCAGTTGGAATCGAAATATTGGCTTCTCCGAACACAGAGCAGTTGTTGCCATCTCCAATTTCCATAATCCATTTACTGAAAGTTGCAATTTCTTTGAGCTCTGATTCTGAGCAATCAGTTTGTCGCAATGTCATATTTTGAGTGAGCGTCAGGACTTGTAGATGTTGCCAAAGGTGTGATATTTTAAGGGATGCTGAAACAATATCGGCATGGGTTCCCTTTTTAATGATTGGTAGGTAGGGTTTGTCGGAAGTTCCCACAAAAAATAACTGTCATTCCTCCAAATGGCATCGCTTGACTATCCTTGTTGCGAGATCTGAGAATATCTCTCAAACTACGATCTAGTGCTTCAATTGCATTTTTGTTTGCCACAGGAGCTTCATCCCATATTACCAAAGAAGTATTTTGTATTAGTTGAGCAAGATCAGTACCTTGATAGAAGTCACAGGTGGATGTTGACGTCAAATTTATAGGAATGCGAAACCTTGAATGTGTTGTTCGTCCTCCATCCATCAATAGAGCTGCTATTCCTGAAGTGGCCACGCAAAGGACTATCCTCCCCTCAGAACGTAGTTTTGCGCTAATTACTTTCCATAGAAAAGTTTTGCCAGATCCACCAAATCCTTCAACAAAAAAGCATTTCCCATTGTTTGAATAGATAGACTCCATAATCTGGTCATATGCAATTCGTTGTTCTTCGTTCAATTTTGGATAATTTTCCTGGAATTGAATATTCATTTTGGTCTTGTTTTTTTTTTTTTTTTTTGATAACGAGGAACACCCTCCACGGTCACCACATTTTGTGGTGCCGTAGTCGGGCTAAACCCCGGGACCTCCGCCGGCGGTCCGGGTGATAGCGGGATGCCTCCGGGAACACCATGGTGGCGGTGAGGATCGAACCTAGGACCTTATGGTCACCAGTCCTCCTCCCTTACCACCAGGCTATGTGACCTTTGGCTTCATTTTGGTCTTGTTGTAGTTCAACTCCTCTTCTAGCAATCGGTTATTTCTAGTTGATACGTTACTCTTTGGGGAAGGCATACCTGGGGATAAACAAAATATTTGGTGAAAATTTAAGATAAAAATGTTATAGAAATTGGTATTATAAAATATATCAAACAACACAAATGATTACGCTCAATTGTCCTCTTGCATACAGTTTATTTAAGTTATGTTAACTCTTTGAGAAAGGTATACATGGTATTAGCCAAATATTTGGTCAATATATAAGTTAAAATATCGGGAAACATGGGATGAGATAGCATGCCTACCCATAAAAGGGTTGGAAAAATGACAACCCCTATTAATTATAGGTTTTTAAGGTAATTAATTTGTGTTGCATTTAATAATCTGTATGAATTAAAAACACATATTAATTACTTTCCTTTTTTCAGTGCACTGGTAGTTGTATCAGTGCACTGGTAGTTGTGTACATGTGCAATGGTAGATGTATCACTGCAATGGTAGTTCCAAAAAAGGAACGTAATTAATATGAATTCAGTATACAAGTGCAATGGTAGTTGTACTTGTATCAGTACAATGGTAGTTCCAAAAAAGTAACGTAATCAAAGATTATTAAATGCAACATGAATTTAATACAAAAAATAACTATAGTTAATAGGGGTGTCATTTTTCCAACCGTTAGCATGCTAACCGATCCCGGGAAACATTATTAATCTAGAATATATCTAATGCAAACGCACAAATAAATAAGCTACATTGTCCCATTACATAAAGTTCACTTTAAACTATGTCAAAGTCATAATTCAATTTACGTATTTAAAGAAATTTTTTTAAATACATCTATGATAAATATATTTAATCCTCTCCAAGTCGTTGCTCTGGTGTTAAACAATAATATCTTGCTCCTAAGTCGTTTGCCCCGGATCATTGACAATAAGAGCAGCCACTTCATCACCTGATGGAAGATTATATTCTCGACCATCTTATTTTCTATTGGCAGTAGCTTCAACTTTAGATGTTGGACGTCGCTTGCAGTAATTTTGTCTTTAGCATATCTAAAAGCTTGGGCCAAGATGTTGTGCTTGTCCAACATTTCCGTCAACCCGACAATAATATCTTCTTGTAGAGGATTCAAATTCTCGCCCGTAATGATAGAATGGAGCTGATTCTCAATGTCTTTCTCTGTTTGATGAATGTATAGTTGTGCGAACTTTGGAATTGAGCCAACAGATGGTAGCAAACTGCCAATTCGATGATAAAATTGGCCCCCGATAGAAAACACGTATGGTCCCCTCCCATCATTCAAGCTATGATCAATCTTTCCACCCATAGAACTGAAGCAAAAAACACCATTATATAATCTGATGCATTCAAGAAAATGCTTTGCAACTTCACTATCTTACTCCAGTAAATATTTAAGGAATTGAGGAGGTTGTCGAGCGGCAGGAAGTTTGACTTTCCCTTGTCTACAACAAAGATTGAATTTTGGAGTAGTAGAGTTTTTCGATCGGGTTGTGCTTTCCTCTTTCCACATAATAGCAGCACAATACTGACATATACTTGAAGGAGGTCCAAGTGAGAAAACTTTAACATGTCTAGCAGCTATGGAAAAAAAAAAACTTGTATTACTTAAATGAAAGAAAAGTGCAATTTCAATTTGGTGAATATATATTCTAAGAGCTTACCTAATTCAGCTACCAAAAATAATGGATTCCTTTTATTTTTTGAAGCAATTATTTTTAATTTTCTAGACATCCGCTTCATTTTAGCATTTAGTTTCTCGAGTGAGTAGTCACCACCTGTAATTTAAGTATTGCAAGAGAGTTGTTAGAATAGTCAAATGATGTCTAAATATTATAGAAAAATTAATGACTTAGGAATATTAGGAAAAAAAAAGAAGTGAGTAACCGATCATCACATTTAATTACCTACCGATGCCCAAGATCCTAATAAGCCAAAACGCTTAGAAAATAATGTATGCTGACGTCTCATCCTAGCATTTTTAGCGATTGTAGACCGTGCTCTCTTTAATTCGCATGAAAAATTATATTTAGCAAAAAATAAAAAATACTAATTAGCGAGACACAAACATATATAAAAAGAATTAATATTTTTTAGGTGTAGAAAACAATGCAAATATTTAGTACCTTTATCTAAATCCCACAAAGTTTGCATGGTATCAGTTGTCCTTGCAATTTTGAAAGAGGAAGGAACTATGTCCTTTGCAGTAGCCTTTCGATTGTTCATTTCCAAGTAGAGCAAGTGTTCTGATACATAAAAAAAAAATAACTAATTAATTTAAGAGGTGCAGTATTTATCTTTATCTGATTGCAAATATATTCAAGATATGACTGTTCTTGATGATTAATAGTATTCATATATTCCTATTTACATGTAAAATGTAGGATAAAAGTAAAGGTGTCAATTTGCTAAAAAGTATAGGGGAACAATTGAAGAAGAAAAATATAGTAGAAATACTAACAATAATATAGGAGATGCTAACATGAGGCAATTATTTCATCCCAACATTATTAAATTAGAGATGTAAAAATATTGGAGTAGGGATAACTGATAACAAAAGTTACGATGGAACCCAAGATGACAATGCAAAATAATAAGATTAGTTCAAAACAGAGCAGTAGGTAAAATATAATTGACAATATAACATTAAACAAAGCATTCGAGTAGAATGAAAAATTGCCAATTTTTACTTAATTGAGCAAATCTTTATGCAAAGTCGTAACCAACTGTGTCCTTTGAAGTAGTCTTTCGTTTGTTTATTTCCAAGTAGAGCAACTGTACCGATACATGAAAAATGGGATAAATAATTAATTTAAGAGGTGCAATATATATCTTTATGGGACGTATAACTATTTTTTTTTAGGTTGCTCACCACTGGTATCTTAAATATAAAAGAGAGATGGTTGATAATGGATCATTGCTTTGAAGTTGAGTGGCCAAATGGATGAAGAAAGTGGCCGTATCTCTTGGAAAAACACACTGACAAGTGACAATGCAATCAATTGCATATTAACCACCAAGGTAATTAATGTCAGATTTTTTATATGCACGTAACTTCTTCAATGGGAAAACGTAGAAATGAACAAAAGGGCTATTAGTGGCTGGGAAGACAATTAATTAGATGCCAAAAAGGGGAAACTTTTTTGATTGAGCCAAAATAGGGGAAAATAGGGAAAGCTAGTAATAAATAACATAAAATCTTTAAAGTTACAGTATTCCATATCTATGTTGTTAGTTGTGGATGTTTCGTTTTCCCTTTATTCCCGTGTTTTTTTATGTTAATTTATATAACTTCTAATTATTTATCGTGGCAGGAGGATTTGTTTGGACTAAAGCCTCTAACATTAATCTATGTCTCATATTTGAATGTGGGAAGAGATACCTTGAAAATATTAGAGATGTAACTTTGTAATTGGTCAAGTGTATTCTCATATATCACTTAAAGTAATTTTATGTTATTATGTTATTATTTGGGTGGTTTCGTGGATCTTTTTATTCCCTTTTCTTTTCAACGTCCATTTAATATTTTCTAATCATTCTATTAGAAAAATATCTTTCCTAACCATTTATTAGTTTTGTGTGGACACTGGTCAGTGGAAGGACTGGGTTGGGATACCTAAAGTTAATCTATCTACGGTCAA